ACTTGACACCAATCTCTCCAAAGATGATTTCCTGATTTGTTTGGGTGGTCGCCTTGGCGTCGATATATGCCTTGGGGGCGGGATCTGCCGTTTTTGCGGTTTGCCTATGGATGTAAAGGGTCGCCACCCACGATTTTGTATGGCAGGTGATGCTGTTGCTCTCCACAGTGGCTTTGCTGGACCTCTTGCACGACTATTGTGCACGGGCCCAGTTGCGGCCCCAGGCAGAAGTCCCTGGACTTTTGGATGGGCGACGGCGGCCTGCTGACATCTTCTTGCGAGGTGGGGTTGGCCTTCTTCCAGCATTGCCTGATGGCTCCCGGCCCGTTAGGCTTGGTGCTCTCGCCTTGGATGTGGCTATTATCCACGCCTTGGGCCCCAATCATTGGAATGACACCTTACGTGGAGCGCCAGATGCTGCCACTGCCTATGCGCAGCGGATGCGGGAACACTTACCGCAACCTCCTATCAATAAATAGGCATTCATTACCAACCCCTTCTATGGGAAATCCATGGTGGATGCACGGCAGCAACGCGGGCTTTCCTTCACCGCCTGGCTGCCTTGGTTGCCACAATCGAGGACATTGATCTGACCCTTGTGAAGGCTCGCCTCCTGGACCAGCTTGCTATCGTGCTAGCGCGAGGAGTTGGACGGGCATTGCGCCGTCGGCGTTATGGTGCCGCGCCGCCACCGCGTGCCTCTAGCCTTGTTGCAGGTTTGCTTCTAAAACCGTAAATTGCCGTTGGTGGCTGTTGACTTCTTACCTTTAACCTCTTCCTAATGGCGTGGTTTCTGTTTTTTTTTAACTATGCAATGGCGAGATAATCGATGCCTCAATCCTAGGGCCAATACACCATTACGAAAATATCTTGGTGGTATACCCAATTCCCTATCCTATTTTTACCCGCTATCATAGCAGCCCTTTTCGCGTCGCCTCGTTTCATTTTGTTCATTGTGGCAGGTTTTTTTTTCCCTTCCTAAAATTTTTTTCGTTTCTATGCAAATCTATAATATTAAATTAAATTAATTCGTTATCGATATTTATTTTTTATATAAAATTTACAATAAATTCATACTAACCTTTTCTGCAATCAAAATACATACAACAAATTCAATCCCATCCATAAAAAATCCAATATAATTACGAAATATAATAAAAATCCTCAAATACAATATATCGCCCTACAACCGCCACAAATCGACCCCCTCCACATCATAAACCACCACATTCACCAACTTAAATCCAAATACTACAAAATCCAACCAATTGCAATACATCCAATTAAACGTATCTATACATACATATTATATTTCATATAATATATACTAAATATACATTAAATTACAAACATATCGTTTATTAATTATTCAATTAATATATATATATATAAATTCATTATTTACTAATTTCCATCTAAATCCCATAGATCTAAAAAACATCAACCATATATATATCGCGCGGCAAACATTGGACCGCTATAAATTTGCAGAATGATGTCTGCAAGCTTTGGATCACTCGTGATAGGTGAGTCCATAAGCTGAATTGGTGGGAAAAGGCCCACCCAAAATTAGAGCAAGCAACTAGACTAGCAAAATGCTTTCTGCCAGCTTTGGATCACCCATCATGGGTGAGTCTAGCAAAAAGACGCCCGACAACATGCTAGCCTGGTTCCTTACTTGTGTTGTACCCGCACAGCAGGAACTAACATTCCTGAAAGAACGGATCAGCAGCACGTGACTTCTCATCAAGTCCACCTTCCATCAAATACAAGAACCTCTCCTTGTCTGCCTGGCTATATGTGAACTTGTCAGAGATGTTCATCCCAAAGTGCCCAAGGTGTTCCTCCAAGCTTATGCGGTTCTCGCTGATTGTTTTCAAGCTCTCCTCCCGAATCAAGTTCACTTTCACCAAGAAAACAACTCTCTCTCTCTCTCTGTGTTGGGCCTAATGTAGTAATCTAAGGTGGTCAACCAAACAGGATTATTCTTCGGCCAGCCCGGCTCCTCCAAGGATGGTTGCTCTTCAGGTGCTAGCTGCTCCTCTTCCAAGCGTCTATGCAAAGGATCTGGGAGGGTCCAAAGTTCGTTGATCTTGGCCAAAGCTTTCCTCGCAAATCAAGAATATGTTGTTTTCACACACAAGATCAACATTTGCTTTACCGGGTACAAAAAACTAAGAACATCCAGGTATATAATATAAACATAACCGGTTGTAACATTCACACTCAACACTTGTGTATTTTAAGGGTCAGCTTCTACTAAACCTCGATGCCCCTAGACTAGATGCAAAAATGCTCAACTAGCATCAACTAGCCAGCTATTTGCTACTGAAACCGAATTGTCTTCTGAACCTTGCTATTGGAAATTGGAGCAAAACCCGTCAAAACATTCGAAGGCAATCCAAAGCAAAGTCCGGAATATCTTGACCAAGGTTCGGAGTCTTCAACAAATGGTTGTAGCGGCAAGCGGCATGCACCGCTCCTCCGTACGCAGCGATGGCAGCAGCACCTGTGGTAATAGCAGAAATGGACACGCCACAAAGAGCACTCACATCCAGGAAGTCTTGGCACTGAACCACAACCAGATTGATGAATGTCACAACCTCACCAATGTATGCCACTGCTCCTGCAATGTCCACCACACAAAGCGCAGCAGGAATTCCCTTCAAGACATTCAATGGATTCTTTTCAGTCGCAAACTTGCCGCAGCGGTTTACATTCACCGCTTTGTTGATGGCAAGTCCCATGTTTGCAATGTTGGCAGCCACCATACCAACATCTACGCCACACTGCACACCATTGCCAACAGGTCCCTGGCCGATCAAAAGCCTGCGGCCGGTTCGCACAGTATGGTCGCCCAAGACACTGATTTGGCTCGTAGACACCGAAGGAGGGGTTGGTGTGCACACAGCACCACTCAAACAAGCACCAGCGGCAATCTCTCCGAAGGCGGACAACAAGCCACTGACCCCTGCTGCACACACTGAGTCCACGTTAAGGGTCAAAGCGCAGTTGGAAGCTGCCAGAGAAATCTTTGCAGCAGCATTTCCCACCCAAGCTACCAAGATGGACGAATCCACCTGACAAGCCAATTCGGACTCGCCGTCACGAGGTGGAGGGCACGTTCGGATGATGCCATTGATGTCATCCCCCATGCCGACGACAGAAACAAAAGCCTCCAGAATGTTGAAAGCACATTCTGCATGCCCGGCTTCCTTACTGTGCTGTCCACGGCGGAAGTCCTTGATTGCTTGGCGCTCTTTCAGAACTGCAAGGGTGTCAAGTTTGCGAACGTGATGTGTCTCCCAATCCTTTTGTGCATTGTGCCCAGCTTGCTTCATGGCCTTCAAGACAGTGCTCTCTGCTAGACTGCGATCCTTGACTTGGAGCAATCTCTTGGTGGTCTTAAGGATTGCATCATCCACATTCAGCTCGGTTTT